GTGTGCTACTAATGTCGATAAATACAAGTAGTATGTATCATCAATCAAAAATGAAATATCTGGTGGCAGAAGGTCGAGAAGATCGAAGAAAAGAGGATGAGAACACAGATTTTCTCCACATGTGCGTCCTTGCTATGTGAATTGTGTCGAGTAATGCAGTTGTAAAAGTTCATAGAACTTTCAAATACAAGTCATTTTCTACATGTATGAAGCATATGAACACCATTCGAATTGACGTAAGGTATTCCTGTGTACTGGTTAGCGTTTTTTAACAACGTTGTTTCCTATGATATGCGGTTGGTAACCACATGCCCAACCCTCCTACTTTATTCGATCTTGTAGCAGACAGTAACCCTAGAAGAACTACAAGAGGATTTGACCGGATATCATCAGCAACATTTTACTGTGGGAGAGAACAAACCAACTTCCATCTGAAGACGATATTAGGAAAGCATACATTACGGAAATCACCAAACTGCATCACAAGGCAAGACCTAACTTGGAATCGTGAATAGAAACGGAAAAGAGAAAGGACAAAGAACACATTACTCCGGGAAATAGAAGCAGATATGAAAAGAATGAATGAAAACTGGAAACAACTGTGAAGGATTATCCAGGATAGAGTTGGATGGAGAATGTTGGTGATTTGCCTATACTCCTCCACGATGGGTAACAGGCATAAATAAGTAAGTAAGTAAGTATTCCTGCGTTCTGACACTATTCGTCTATAGAAATTTGAACACCACATCGCACTTGAATCGTATGATGGTATAAGTTTGTTTGTGTAAATATGAACATATATCCAATATGCTTGTCTTTATATACGTCAAAAATAGTTTAGTTTAGGTTGTTTGAAATGGAAATTTGTTAGTCTATACAACATTTCCATTATAAACTGAGGTCGACTAGATCCTTTCATTGAATAACCAAGGAAAATATTCATTACTAAAGTTTAACCCTCTGAAGTTGGTATTTGTCAAACAATAACCTTAGTTGGGGTATCATTACAAATTAGCGGTCACTGGATTGTTATATTGGATTCACCAGTAATCCCAACCATGAATCTTAATACTAAAAATCCACCAAGAGGTTTTAATGGTTGGATGTTCTCTGTGAGAACTAATAGTCTTGAGTCTAGTCCTTGATTGGGTCTTCAATCCATACCTCTGAGGATTTGTAGCAGAGGACGAAAAATTTATTTGATGCACCCTGTTTTTTTTAGTGATACCTTAACTGCAATCCATACACAATGCATACAATCTACAAACTCAAAACGTCTCCACAAAAACCTCTTCAACTAAACCGATTGACCTTATTCAACAAAATCATGAAAATCTTTAGTTTGTACGTTCAGTGCTTTTCATTAAGATGCGTAAATATTAAAAGAAAGAGTCATGAACCAACTATCAGTTGATTGCTTGCTTACTTACTTACTTTCGCCTGTTACTCCCAATGGAACATAGGCCACCGACCAGCATTCTCCAACTCACTCTCTCATGGGCCTTCCTTTATAGTTCTATTCAATTATTGTTCATTCTTCTCATATCTGTCTCCACTTCTCAGCGTAATGTGTTCTTTGGTCTTCCTCTTCTCCTTTGACCTTCAGGATTCCATGTGAGGGATTGCCTTGTGACGCAGTTGGGTGATTTCCTCAAAGTGTGTCCTATCCACTTCCAGCACTTCTTCCTGATTTCTTCCTCCACTGGAATCTTCCTCCGTTAATTGAGCGATACTATAATTTATGAACTAACCAATCAGATATAAGATAACAGATTTCTGATTTTGACTCAATATTCACTCATCTATTTTACTAAAATAGAGTTTTGGCATTATAGCTTATATCAGTTCGTGATGAAAACCCTACATCTAATTCCTAACCTTTGTAGTATCAGTTTATTTGTTAAGGCCATATACTTTATCCTAGCTACTGGCCAAGCCAATTCGCCTGTCATGAGTCATATTTTGATCTTGTTCATTATTCGCTTATTAACCTTGGCTATAATTTTATATGAGCATATATGTGTACACTTCGTATCTTATTCATCATATGCCTGTCACTCATTTTTGTCCGACTATAAATGTTGATTAACGCTTGCTTAAATTGAGTTGGCTTCCCAGACATCTCCAATACACATTATTTAGCTTCACTCTCGAGTTGGCTTCCCCGCCAATCTCCACTGCATGTCACTTCCGCCTCGTTGGCTTCCTTCGTTTATTCGCCTGTTCACTCGCTCGTTATTATTCGCTCAGGTGTTGCTAACTTTCTGACCTGAGTTACTCGACAATAAACTGTAGTTGCTGCTATCCTTTGTCTTCTGATTTTACGCGCCGTTAAGATTAGAATTATATCGGTTATCAAAACGAACGATTAACAAATCACGGCACTACAGAATTGGATACCTCGCCGTACGAATACGACACTACAGTACTGGTTAGCCCGACTAGCGAACACGCTACATAATTGGATGCCTCGCCGAACGAACACGGACAAGAATCGACAACCTCTGCGTACGAACTCACTACATAATTGGCAACCGCAACGAGCGAACACAAACCAAAAATGGAACCGTCGACGACATATTCTGTTATGACTCGAATAACCTCTATATGTTCATATAAAAGTACAGCCAAGGTTAATAAGCGAATAATGAACAAGATCAAAATATGACTCATGACAGGCGAATTGGCTTGGCCAGTAGCTAGGATAAAGTATATGGGCTTAACAAATAAACTGATACTACACCTTAACCATCAATTGTAAATCATAATTCTAATTCCTTACACTGGTTTATAACTCTCATTTGGTCCTAGTGATTAGGTGGAGACTCTCAAGATCGCTCTAGCGCAGCCTAAAGGTCATCCATAAGTTATAGTCCCATCGTTGGTTGTTAAACACACACACACATACACTGATCAACTTTTAATACACATTCACTACTTTCACTTTCAATATGATTTCTTTGAATATCTTCTCAGAATTCATCATCCTACTTGTTTTTTTTTCCAATAGTTGAGTTAGTGACAAAAACCTCTTCAAAAAGGTACTATTGAACTAAGTAAACAATCCTCGCTTATTTCATACATTAATTACGTAATCGCTTATCAAGTGTTTACATATGAAAACATAATTGTATCCTATTGAAAAAGTACTCATTAATGAAGATGAATGAAAAGAGTAATAAGGTTGAAATGACTACAAGCGGTGTCCATATAGTTGTTAAACAATGTGAATAGACTGAATATATATGAACATTGTTCAATGAAAACAAACAGTACAGTGACAATATGACTTTGAAACAAAAGATAAATGTCAGTCAGTCAGTCAGATACAATGTAGGACCAGGTATATATGCATACATCGTTCCAAGTTACTATACCTCATTAGCACAACAAGATGAACATCAAATTCATAGAAGTAGTTACTTCAATGGTTATAATTGTTATATCTCGAACTTAGACTGTTAGTATGTCGCGTATAACTTGATCACTCAAACGCTAGAACCCTCCCAAGTCGCAAAATGAGAAGACAGAAGACTAGTAAGTAGGAATGTTATTCCCAAAACAGTATCAAATATAGTACAAAAATTCTCATGTGTTTATAGTTTTTGGCTGAAAGTAAATCATCATTTCGGACAGTCAATAGGTACATAGGGGGACATTCTTATTCATCCAATAGGGAAACTAGACGTCAACATTCTAGAATGTTCCTTAGCGGTGTTTGGATGGAATGTCATCGTTTTTTTCTGAATTTCTTGAAGCTTCCTCGAGTTTGCCAACGAGCCATCCTTACACCTCCCCTCTATTGAAAGATTCGGAGTTGATTACCGGATTTTAAATTTCCCGAATTTATCCTCCTGCACGAAATAATCTTGGATCCTCATATACCCAAGTTACCATTAATGTGACATTATTTAAAACATTTGTCGCATTTAATAGAGAATACATTAGAACTTATTAGATCGTAAGGATCGACGATATTTGATTTTAGGTCACCAGTGTCTGATTCTTCTGAAACAGTTTCCTTCAATTTATTCGAAACCTCATTAGTAGATAATGAATCATTGAGATAATCAGTATCAATGGAAACTGTATTGGATTCTTGATTATCATTTGATGCATCCGACAATAATATATCAAAGAAAGATTACATATAAGGATGTGATAGAGGGGGGAGGACTTAGTTCAGTCGGCTCAGTGGTCTAGTGGTTCAGCGCTTGCACATGAGACTGATAGGTCCTGAGTTTGAATCCTGAAAGGCGGGACCGGGGATTCACACTGCTGAGGAGTCCTGTACTCTGGCGAAACGGTCGTCCAGTGCTTCCAGGTTTTCCAAGATGGTCTAGCTTCAATTGACTAATGATTTCAACTATATAAAATAAAACCATTTGATCAACTAAATACAGATCCGACAGGAAGTTGAAATTAATAACTAGTGTTATGAGAAGAATGAAGTCACCACGTCTAAACGATATTGACAACTGACTCCTTTTGGATATTTAGTGTTAAGTCGGCTTCCAGCAAACTCCAACAGAGCCTCCAGAGGCTCAAAAAGAGCCCCCAACCAATCAGAGTACGACAGAACATTCTGGAGTTCCAACGTGGCATTCTGCCATTGGTCAGTAGCAATTTATGTCGTTAATTGGATTGGCTGAATTAGGATGTTGATTTAACCTACGATTTTCTGTACAATGACGATCCTTGCAGTAAAGTGTTTTCTCTGATACTCATGCCTTCTCTCTGGTCTTCAAGTCGCTGAGTAGTGCTAGCCCTGAGGTTATCCGTATAGCTTAGGATCTGAATAAAACGTTTAACCTACGAGACATATCATTTAGATTCGGTTTATATTCCTTTTATGGTAACTACTTCAGCAAAGCATAGTAAATTTAACGTTCTTTATTTATTAGCTATCTTGAAAGACATTGAAACTTCCACAATATGGTCACTATCAATCAAATAGCTTGCAATCGTACTATTGGAAAACTAAGAGGAAGATGAGCTAAATGAAAAAGAAAGGTATGAAAATGAAGAATAAAACTATCTGGGTTATATTGTCTAAAGTTTCAAACGGATTGAGATGACGAAAAGCGAAGGTTCGGTGCTTTAGCCAGGTTAGTGGATATGGAAGATCCACTTAGGGAAGTTGAAAAACCCTGATTCTAAACGAATGGCTGACATGGGTTACAGGATCTTGAGGGTGAAATGGTGTATGAAACTACTGTGGGTCACCGACTATCATAAGACTGTATCTCCTAATGTTGTTTCACTGCCTTGAGTATTAAATCACCAGGTCAAAGGCTCAGTGAGTGGCACCCAAAGAAAACCATTTGCTTCAGTTTGGGCTCCTGGGCAACATTCCAGCACTCACATAAATCGAATGATTTGTATGGTGCATATATATTTGGTACCTCCTTGTACCAATGTTTATGTGTTTAAATAAATAAACTGTGGATAGTACAACTAAGAGTTTCACATCTCTCTTTACTGTTTGGTTCAACATTAAATAATACAACATATTGATATCATGTTTTTATCTGACAGTTACAATTTCTAAACCTACTGTAATGTTAAATTCACTTAGTATTGCTTGTTTAAATCCTCCCATTGATGTTTAAGACTACAATTGATCAGTCTCTTATTGGCATATGTGCATACTGTGAGTATAGCCTTAATTCACAAGCATTATAAGCAAAGATGGATAGTGGCTAGTAGTGGAATCCAGGACGTGCCTTTCGTAGCTGAAAGGGTAAAGCGATGGCGTTTGAAGCAAAAGGCACTAGGTTTGAGTCACAGAGTGAACACCAACTCTGAGATACAGGTACATCCAGTTGACGAGTCGCAAATAGGACGAAACACGCGTCCTGGATTCCACTGCTAGCCACTATCCATCTCTATTGTAATGTTAGTTGGTTTAATCTGAGAAAGTATGTGGTAACCAAAAAGCTTTGAATCAAAAGCAAGAAGTCAATATAGAACACATATGATAAACATATTTTATCGTTCTTATACATATTCGCCCTAACTCTGCATTCATTTAGTACAGTAGATGTTCAAGAAACAAAGATTGAACAAATTTTTGCGATATTTTACTCACTAAATAAAACAATTTTTAAAAAAAAAGACAGTTCTACTATATGGGGTGGAGACGTAGAGAACTACGAAGGCCATCATCCAGAAGATACAGATGTTTATTAATAGTTATCTACGCATGATACTTCAGATCCTTTGTTTAGACACTATCAGCCACATTCTACTGTGGGAGACAACAAACCAGATTTCAGAGAAAGAAGAAATCAGAAAGAAGCGATCGAAGTGGATAGGATACACTTTGAAAAAATCACCTAACTGCGTCACAAGGCAATCCCTCACATGGAATCCTGAAGGTCAAAGGAGAAGAGGAAGATCAAAGAACACATTACTTCGAGAAATAGAGACAGACATGAGAAGAATGAACAAAAGTTGGATAGAACTATAAAGGAAGGCCAATGAGAGAGTGGGTTTGAGAATGCTGGTTGGCGGCCTATTCTCCATTAAGAGTAACAGGCGTAAGTAAAGTAAATAAAACATTAGTTGAAATGTTTTGTCAATTAACTTGTAAAAAGGAAACTTAAGATAATCAATGGATAATCAGTTTTTATTAGATGTTTCCTTCTATTCAATAGAAATACACCTAATAAGGAGTATAGTTAATAGCCAATTAGAAAAAACTCACTATCCATTTAATATCCATTTACTAATTGAGAAATTTAATCTCTATGTTTAGTATTTTTCCTTTGATATAACAAGTTAATCTTCAATTCACTTTGTCTTATCCGTGTGATGATTCGGATGATGATGATGATGATGATGATGATGATGATGATGATGATGATGATGATGATGATGATGATGATGATGATGATGATGATGATGATGATGATGATGATGATGATGATGATGATGATGATGATGATGATGATGATGATGATGATGATGATGATGATGATGATGATGATGATGATGATGATGATGATGATGATAATGATGATGATGATGATGATGATGATGATGATGATGATGATGATGATGATGATGATGATGATGATGATGATGATGATGATGATGATGATGATGATCAAATAATGAATAAATATGTATCTTTTCAATGAGATATTGTTATAACTTGTGGCATTGTGCCCCTGTCAATGTGTGACGTAATGATACTTCCAATTAGAGAACGGTGATTTATCGACCGGATCAATGAGGCATTAAGCCGGTATGAGCGGTCTAGAGTCCTTGTCGTTCCTGCTTCCTGCTTAGCCCTGCCTGTTAAGTCCAGAACATCAATCTCAGCCTCTTCGATATGAATGTTGCATACTACTTATATCGACAGATATAAGTAGCATATACTACAATATAACTGATATATGACTGCTGAAGAAAATGTATTTGATGATGGGTTTTGAATTGTTAACTGTCTATAAATTTCCAGACCGGTATTCTTTTCTATCTAAGGCACAATACTCAAATAGTATGATATTAGGTGGTTGAAAGTCGTCAAGAGTAAACTATGAATCTAGGTTTCATTCCAGTTGAAACTCGTTAGTAAGGTATATCTATAATCGTAAAGGAACTGATGATATCTGGTTAATCCGAATTCGCTTCAATAACTTTCTAATAGCGATATGTTATCACAGTAACACAGTAGAATTAAAGATTGAGAATGATCTAATTGGTAATGAATAGTTTTCAAAGTCCCTTCTTTTTTTTCACAAATGAATAATGTCAATAATATCAATACAAACAAAAAAAAGTCATTTTCATTTCATTTGATGGTAGGATAGTCTACTCATTTCAAAATTATAAGTAGTAATGTAATAGACAACAACACACAAATGGAAACAATCGAATGTAATGTCAACACAGAATTATGAAACATCTTACTCAAACCTAAGAACCATATTGTAAATACTTCATTTGTAAAATGTCAATCAATCGTCTCAGACTTCATTGTTCTTTCGTTTCCATCATCAATCATCGTCTATTCTCGTTCTCTTTTCTTCGATTTTCTTAACCTTCTGTCATCAGGCATTTCACTTTCTATTGATGATACATACTACTTATATCTATCAACATGAGTAGTATACATCACAGTATATAAATCATGTACAATGTATATTTGAATCTGTAAGATAACTGACTATCTGTTATATACTAGGGAAAAAGTAAGTACTGATAACTTACGAGACCTCTTATTAGACTATTATTCTATTTATATTCCTATGGTATAACTATTCAGTAACTGGATTATCTATGTCTATTTTCATCTTATTACTAGTTTCATTTTGACCTATTGATTATTATTATATGATTTATTGTTCCTAAATTATACTCGGTTTATTGAATACTGTCTCCCACTCTTCCAGCCACATTTGGCTTGAATTTGTACAAATATTATTTTCTATTTTATGGTGTGGTGTGGTCTGCCTGTTTGGTATATAGACAAAGTATGTTTGAAATAAACGATTCGCATAGCCGAAGCTGTAATTGGTGTTTTGGACTCAAGTGGACGGGTTAGGCGGATACGGACCAATAAAGACGCTAGATTACTCACACTAATCGAACGTCATTGTCACAGTGTGAAGGTTGTAGAAGTCGTATTCTATTGATGGACAATTTACGCGAATTACGTCATTGTTAAATTCGTAAAGTCATAACAAATCAGCGATGACTTTGAAATTAGCTACAGCCTTGATCAAGACATAACGATTGGCGACAGCCTAGGTCAAAAATCATAACACTATCTTCTCTACAATACATACTACTTATATCTATCAACATGAGTAGTATACATCTAAAGGATAACTGTTTACTACAGTGAAACTAACTGATTTTAACTGTTTTTACAAAAAAAAATAATAACGGATGGATGGGCGTATCTACCAAAATACAATATGCTTTTAGTAATTATGTCCTACTTTTCTTATAATTGTTAATATGAGTTGATAATCTGATTTATTCTATAGTAATGTTATATTGCTTCACATATACATACATACCCATATGCACGCACACACACACACACTTGCATAGGAACAAATAGGCATAACAACAACAACAACAACAACAACAACAGTAACAACAGTAACAACAATGATAAGAGCTACAATGATTCTTATTTCAGCTTCTAATTCAATTGTGAAAATATGCAAATTGTAATCATAATACACAAAAAAAATTTTTTATTAATATTGTAGGTCATTAGTTGTTGGGATGGTTAGTAAGAAAGGTAGTTGATTGTTTAATTGATGGTGATATTGTATTTATGAGTTAGATATATTAATATCAGAAAGGGGTTTCTGTGGATATTAGAGTCACTTGAACCTAGACCATCATAGAAAACCTGGAAGCACTAGATAACCGTTTCGTTCGAGTACAAGACTCTTCAGTAATGCGCATCCACGATCCTGCCTCCCGAGATTCGAACACTGTTGAATGCCGACATGTTAAGCGATCGCATGAGAGAGTGATAGGTCCTGGGTTCGAATTTCATGGGGCGGGACCGTGGATGTGCACTGTCACTAAGGAGTCCTATAATAGGACGAAACGGACGTCCAATGCTTCCAGGTTTTTCATGATGGTCTAGCTTCAATTGACTCATGATCTCAACTCTATAAAATTAAATAATTTAGTTTGAAATTTTTCATTTGTTATTCTAGATAGTTTTATCATTGCTTATTTTGTTTATTAATATGGCTAGTGACAGCTTTATCAGTAGCAATACAAATGATATATGAAACTAATTTCTATCCAGTTATGTATAACGTGTATTCATGTTTCATGAAGAATTATAGATGCTTAATTGTATTTACTTCCTTACGCCTATTGCCCATAGTGGAGGAGTATATGTCGATCACCAACACTCTCCATCCAACTCTGTCCTGCACAATCCTTTCCAGTTGCTATTCATCATTTTCATGTCTGTTTCCAATTCCTGACGCGATGTGTTCTTAAGTCTTTTACTTTTTCATTTCCCTTCGTAATTTCAAGTAGGGGCTTGCCTAGTGATACAGTTTCATGATTTCCGTAATGTGTCTCTTAACCACTTCCAATGTCTTTTCCTAATTTTCTAATCAGCTGGAAGTTGGTTTGTTGCACATAGTATCCGGACAATGGGCATTCAGTATCTTACGTAGACAATTGTTTATAAATACTTGATGATGGTTGTGGTAGTTCTCCAAGTTTCACTTTCATACAATCGAACTATCTTGACGTTCGTGTTGAAGATCTTAACTTTGAAATTAGTTGACAGTTGTTTTGAGTTCCACATGTTCTTCAGTTGTAGGAATGCTGTCCTTGTTTTATCAATCCTCGCCTTTACGTCTGCATCAGATCCTTCTTATTCATCAATGATGCTTCCCACGTACGTCAATGTCTTCAACTATTCAAGAATTCCTCCATCAACTGTGATTGGGTTAGCGTTTTCCACGTTATATTTGAGGATCTTGCCTCTCTTCTTATGTATTTTGAGGCCTACTGATGCAAAGATTACTGCAACACTAGTTATCTTCATCTACATTTGTTCGTGTGTATAAAATAGAAGGGCCAGGTTATATGTGAAGTTCAAATCTTCTAATTGATTCCGAACTGTCCATTATATTCCGTTTTTCCTCTCCGATGTTAAAATCTTGATAATCCAGTCGACCATCAGAAGAAAGAGAAAAGGAAAGAGTAGACAGTTTTGTCTAACTCCGGTCATGCTTAATGGTATAATGTTGTAAATATATATCTATTCACATACCAAATTATTACATAATTACTGTTAAATACAAATCTGAACATTGATGTAACTGTAAACAAACAATATAAAAATATGATTCAAAAGTCTTTAATTTTACTCCTTAAACCTTTCCTCTTTTGTTCAATTCAGTCTAAGGCTATCGAAACTGTCTTGGAAATCAATCTGAGTATTCAAATTGACTTGATATTGTTTAGTTGGATCCTTCCATTGATGTTTAACACTGCAATTGATCAGTCTATTATTGGCATATCTGTATACAGTAGGTATTGCTTCGATATTGCCTTAATTCACAAGCATTGTAAGCAAAGATGGACAATGGCTACCAGTGGAAATCAGTATGCGCGTTTCGTCTCATTTGAGACATGTCAGCTGTAGTTACCTGCATCTCAGAGTTCACTCTGGGACTAGACTGGAAAGACGTAATTCTGATATACATATGTTCATGAAAATAGGTAAAGTGAATTAACTCTCATAATCTGTTGTATTCGATAGATCTGGTTCCTTATTAGAATTTTGTATTGCTCTTGCTAAGAAATCACAGAGTATAAATAGCCATAGTTATCAGAAACTAAATTTTCGCATCTGTTATATCTTGAACTTAGATTTCTTAGTCTGTCTCGTAATACTTGAGCACTCGAACGCTGGAACCCTCTCAAGTCACAAATCAGAAGACAGAAGATAAGTAGAAGGAATGTTATTCCAAACAGTGTCGATTATGGTTCAAAACTGTCAGGTATTTATAGTTTTTAGTAGAAACGAAATCATTGCAGTTATCCAGTCCGCACACAGGGAGTTATCAGCACTTTCCAATAGGGAAGCTACACATAATAATTCAAGAATATTCTTCCCAAAGCTGATTGGATGGCATATATCCGGCTCCTTCTGGGCTTCTTAGAGCTTCCTCAACTTCACCTGTAGACCATCCTCACAGAATCCTAACGCCTTATGTCGGTTAACATATAATTATTACTGTGAAATAGCAATGATCAAACTTACAGAACTAAAATGAACCATGGGGTTCAGTTAAGGTCTATTAAATTTTTAATAATTCCAAAACTAAACAATAGATTTATTTTAATTTCACAAAAACTTACCAAGCATTTTAACGATGAAATGTTTCTATAGTTAAGATCACGAGTCAATTGAAACTAGACCACCATAGACAACCTGAAAACACTGAACGGCCGTTTCGTCCTATTGCAAGGCTCCTCAGCAGTATACTTACACGACCCCGCCTCACGAGATTCGAACCCAGGACCTATCACTTTCCCGCGCGAACGATTAACCTCTAGACCACTGAGTCGGTCGGCATCCAATGGTGTTAATGTTTAACTTCATTCGATTCACGAAATTGAGCGACACATCTAC